TCGGAAAATTTTGAGCATGCTCAAAATTTTCCGACGTATGCCCATACGTGCCGCATACGCGGGCAATAAGTTGTAGGTAAGTTATGCGATCGTTGACACACGTTCACACACGTTACTTGTAAGTTACTCATAAGTCGAAATACGTCGAGATAATGTCTAGCGTACCCAAACTTATTTCTAACCTATGAGTAACGTGCTTTGAACCTATGTGTAACTTATCTCCAACACATATTGACAGATGTAGACGTATTTGACGTGTTCCGAAGACGTGTTAAGCATGCTATCTGGGTAAGTATGAGCGATACCGCACGTGCATATTTGCTAATTAATTAGACTAATCACGCTTCAATACTCAAAATTCACAGAGATTAATGGCGCTGTCACACCTCTGTATGAAAGCCAGCGTATACCGACGTATGAACAATTTGGTGAATATGCTGGCGTACGTCGAATAAGTTATGGGTAAGCTTTGTATAAGTTAAGAGCACGCTGAAGCACGCAGCATGGTATACATCGTAGTACGGCGAGGTCGTCGGAAAATTTTGAGCATGCTCAAAATTTTCCGACGTATGCCAGCGTATGCCCATACGTCCCGCATACGCGGGCCATATAAGTTGTAGGTAAGTTATGCGATCGTTGACACACGTTCACACACGTTACTTGTAAGTTACTCATAAGTCGAAATACGTCGAGATAATGTCTAGCGTACCCAAACTTATTTCTAACCTATGAGTAACGTGCTTTGAACCTATGTGTAACTTATCTCCAACACATATTGACGTATGTAGACGTATTTGACGTGTTCCGAACGACCACAGAACTTACTGAACATGTTTCTAACTTACAGCTACCGTATAATGGCGTATTGGCAGCGTTTAGGAGAATTGGTATATAAAAATGGTATTGGCATGTTGATACTGTGATGTCTAGTGCGGTTATGATTTGAATCGTCAAGCGGCAGCCTTTTTATAGGCTATGACACGTGATCGTCGGCGATACGCTGCCACGCGCTATATGCATAAGTTAGACTATCATTGGGCATAAGTTGTGAACGCCGGCAACACGCTAAGTATTTGTTGATATAAGTTATCTATAAGTTATCGAAACGTTCTATATACGTTCCTAATACGTTAAGTATACGTCCAACTCGTTATGAATACGCTATGTATACGCCCAAAATTGAAAAAAACATCGGTAGTTCAGCGTATGCCAGCATTTTAGAGAAATTTTGATACGTCGGCATACGCTGGCTAAATCGTCGAGGTGTGACAGGGCCATAAGGCTGAGACATGTGTCTATAATAGCTAGAATTTATAGAAATGTAACTCAAATCGTTCACGCCACATGATAGTTAGTACATTTTCCTACCGCCGTACCGGTCATAGCATAATACTTAATATTACTTTAGGCCTAATACTAATAGGGCCTAGTGTGCGGCGGGGTATGCAAAATGAAAACGAAACGTACGTCACGAATTCTATTTTTATCCTCCAATATCACAGGTCGGAGCAACTCCTCTGTTCAGACGCAATGTCTTCCTTCCCTTCCCTCCGCGAGATGTGTCCGGTCGAGGAGCCACAGCGTAATAAATGCCAATGGCAAACAATGAAACATTACTTCGTAAAGCTAAAGAGTAAAGCCTAAAGGGTGCAAATCCACTTTAGGCACCTTAAAAAGCCCTTAGGTATCACGAAGTGATGGACAGATTTCTGTCTATCATCAATTACTGATGTACATATGATACTTTCCGTATATCAAGGAATGATGCAAAAACCCTAACCCTAACCCTATAACACACTTCGTGATACCTAAGGTTATTTTCCTCCAGCGGCAGTTAATGAACGCGGGCTATAGACTATATAGTACTACTACTAGTACTAGTACTACTACTACTAGTACTAGAGCTAGCCTACGAGGCTACGTACGTTACGTAGGCTGTCGGCTGTCAAGCAGAAGTTATTAATAATAATATTATTAGCTAGGCCTAGTCTTTGTCTAACACGCTAACTTTCACGTTTTATTGGTGATTACTAAGTCTACCGTGAACAATGATGCTGCGTTATCGCCAAGTTTTATTCCCTTCTCATCCACAAACAGTAGTCACTCCAAGTAATATTAATAATAAACTCACATATCTGATTTCCAAAACAAACAAATGCCATTCGAAAATTGCCAAAACAATTGTTGCACCCATAATGCTGCTGATTACCACGAACAAGATACCATTCTTTAATTTAAAAGATTAGCAATAGGTGGCAGTATAGTAGAGTATGGCTGCCGCCATTGATAACATGAGTTCACAAGTCAAGAAAGTAACAGAGAAGCGAAAACTAAATGAAGAAACTGACAAAGATCCAGGGTTTTTTGTAAATAGCTATTTGATATTGTGTAATTTGTTTTCAATAGTTTAATATTTGTTATTGGTTCTATATAACGTTAATTGAGAGCTACATCATTACGTCATTAGTTCTGTCAGTGTCCGTCAGTCAGCGTGAGTGTCATTCCTAGTCCTGGACCTGGAATTCTCGGTTCAAGGATAGAGATGATGTCCAGGATGGTGATTGGATAGGATGATTTTATTACTGGACATGCTCTCTATCCTTCGGGAGCTTCTTATGGAGCGCCTTCGTGGCCCAGTGGTCAGGCTACGTATACACTAATAGTAATACTATACTGTCCACTGAAGGCTGTGACTGTGAGTTCAAACCCCGGTCGGGGCAGTGAATTTTCTCAAGGTGTAAAAACCTGGAGCCCGTTGTCAGAAACAAAATTAGTCTTAACATTAGTTTTAACACTAACATTTTGTCATAGACCATCGACAGCGCTTTGTTTCGTATTGTTATGAGGAAATCTGCTGCGATTTTTCATTCAGGTAACTTCGCAGCGTTTCTGACGACGGTCTAAGAGAAAAAGTTAATGTTAAGACTAATTTTGTTTCTCACAATAGGCCCCTGGCTCTCAACATTGGAGACTGTGAATCTCCCGTGGCTCGGATGATCACGTAAAATGGCGGTCCCGTCTCCAGTAATACTAAGGCCATTGGGGACGTAAAAGAACCACCGAGGGGCGCAAAAAACTGGCTGTGCAGGGTTTCTTCTGAGGGAAAATTAGACAACGGCGGTAATGGCCAGTTTGGGGAAAAACGCGCATGATGGATTCAAAGGTGTGCAGTAGGCATGAATGTGGATTTTGCAGGCAGACATGGGGGAGAGAGGTAGAGGGGGTTCTGATGGTCTCCCCCAGCAAAATTTTGAAAATTGGAATATCTAAGACTGTATTTGGTGCACCTCGAAAATAAAATTTCACCTTATAGTTTAAATCTTATTCTGTTAGCAGACCTACCAAGTCTCATGCTGCACATTTCGCGGGAGACTCACGCATCTGGACCCCTTCTCCCGCACTCCCGCATGCCCTACGCATTCTCACGCATTCATACAAAAGAAAAAAAGAAGAAAAAAAGCAGCCCGCGACACCCCTGTTACCCACGTCCGTGGCTGTGCACATCGTGGCTCGTGCTTGCTGGCTGGGGCGGCATTGATTGAAGTAAGGGGGGGGGTGAATGCACTGATTGTTACAGTCACTTGGGTATGCTTATTGCTGTATATGTAGGGTTGCCCCCCGCGCTGATATGAGGGAGCGACAGGAAAACTCCCGGAATCGAGGGAAAAGCTGCAATCAGGAATGACACAGGAGTGTGCCGGCACGCAAAAAGAAACGTTGCTGTGAATTTCATTACGATTTTCCATGTATATAGTCAGAAGCACGTGATGATCTATTTATTTTTGGATTGACACTATTTTGACAACGGCAGGTAAATACAGGAACATTTTCACAACGGCGTTGTTAAATTTGACAACGGCGGTGTGCTGCAGTGCCTCATATGTAGAAGAAACCCTGGCTGTGACCACCCTCATTGCCATTCGGCTGAAAGGCTAACTACCTGGCTTTACCCAAGCTAGGTCACACCCCATAGCTAGCTATAGCCCTGGACGTTTATTCCTTACGGAATGTCTCTGCGTTATTATCCACGTAACCGTGGGCTACACAGTAAACTATCCAGATCCAGATCCTTGAGACAAATTCTCTCCATTCTTCTACTTCTACTTTTATTCTGGACAGTCCGTGAGGAATAACGTCCAGGGAGGAATGTTTTCAAGTTAATCACAATTTTAGTTTTTAAGCAGTATAGCAGAAGTTGCTGATATTGTACCATTGGCATTGCATGATGCTGCAAATGTGATAATTATTAACCATGATAATGTAATGATATTGTACTGTTGCATGCTGGCATTGCTGCAAATGTTGCTGATATTGTACCATTGTATGCTGCAAATTTTGCGGTTGCTCCTGCAATGATACTGCCACACAAATTTTCTGCAGTCAAGACATGATGCCATACTTATAGTAGGTATCACAGTGATATTTTTAAAGTGCACTAAATTTTTAAACTTTGTGGATTTTATTATAAAGCTCTTGAAAAGAAACATTTTGATACCTCATTTGTCAAATTTGAATGTATACTTTTTGAGATATGCTTATTTAAAAGTAATGGGAAAGGTCGATTTTGTTTAAATTAACGCATAAGTGATAATCAGTAATATTTGCACAGTCATATCTCAGAAATGCACCCTTCAGTGACATTGAACTGATGTCATCTTAAACTACCTATGGCATACAACTCTCCTATTGTTTTCAGGTTGTGCAAAATTTTTATTTGTTTTAATGATTTTTTGAAAACCCTTATAAAGCATATTTTGCCATGTGTAACAATGCACATTTTTACTAGTTGCGCGCAAGTTCTCAATGCATTTTCAAATCCACATAAATTCAAAACCGTACGGTACACAGAAGTATTTGGAGACCAAGCAATAGGTATCAAGTTTAAAAGACTGTGAATATGGACCATGACAAATGTCCACTAATTTTTTAAACTGTATCCAAACATAGCCCCGCAACGCACCGCGCGCGCGCTGCAACATAGCGCGCGCTGTGGCTCTAAACTGCCGCGCAAGTGCATTTTTAACAAACAAAAATGCACGCCATTCATCAAGGATAAAATGTAATTTTCATATTTCTCATTACATCAATTTTGAAATACATGTTTACTAGTCTAGATAACTATTCAGTTGTTTCGTCATAAATTGTTTAAATTCAAAGACCTCAGTGAGTACAGTGAGTACTACACCAGCTGTACGCTGCTGTAGATCGACTAGCAACACATAAACAAAACATAAACACCGACTCGCAGCTCGCCAGTGTGGACCGGCAAGATCGATAAGAAAGATACAGCGCTGATTATTTCGTCTTCTAGTTCTATTTTTCCCAAACTGCAAAATATCATTAAAACAATAAAATACGACCGTAGAGGATATATAGTAACTAATTTCGTGAAAGAAGTGATTAGTTTCGACGCTCGACTCGCTTGATCAGTTGCCGGCAAAGACGTTACCTTCTTTGCTGCGCGCATGATTGTAACGCGCTGTGTTGATGCTTCGTTCGTATACCTTATATTCAGCCGCTATGCGCTGCCACGCCATCTCACAGTGAATATTGGCTCATTGCTTATCGGGTTCTTCGTTAAATTCTCTCCATTTTGATATGAAAATCACGAAAAATAGTTCGACGTTTCGATGAAAATTACCCGATTAAAATCCTTAACCGTAATTTTAGAGGAATATTTTATTACCTACCCCAACATATTTCACATGAAATTAAAGCTAAAACCCTGCTCTGTGTGACTGTTATGTTTTCTAAATGATTACTACATCGGCGTAAAAGCGCCTGGGACTAGAGCTATCCCCTTGCAACGATGGCTTTTCACAATGGCTGGCGAAAGACGTAATATATGCCCAGCTAGCAGAGTGTTCAGGGTCTAATACCTCTGTGAGTGAATGGTATATTTTAATGAAAATATCATAAAGCAAGAGTCTATACATTCAGCTTTCAAATGGTATATAATTTTCCCATTAAAATAATAATCTTGGTGCGAATTTCGCCTGTTGAAAGGGAAGCTTTTTCTCACTTGTGGTGCAGCAGGAACCGCAATAATGTGCTTTACTGTGATACCTACTTATACTACAGTATAGCATATATACATATGCCTATGCATGCCTTAGTTAGCCTAGTCTAGTTAATCTAAGCTAAATCTTAGGTTAACTTAGGGCATTTTCAATGGGCAATTAATTACCACATTAAAAAAAACGTCATTTAAATTTTGACCAAGAATACTCCATATGGCATGTAATGTTTTTGTACACTAAAATGCCAATTTATGACTGTACGTGTTAAAAGTGAGGATTTCTCATATTTTTACCAACCGTTTTCATAATATCTTAACCGTTCTCATACTCGCATAACACCAAATGCATGTAGTAAGGCTAACATGTCATAGAACACTCGCACAACATTGTCTCCACCAATATGTGCACCGATCTGCATTTCAAATTAGATTGTTTACACATGTCAACAAACCTAGCACATGATTTTTACTCTTGTGAGACCATTCTCTAAATATTTGCGTCACCTAACTACGTGCGCTAGTTTTGTGGGATGGTTTCATGGCTGTTCATTTGTTGTTTTATACTATAGTCTATAACACCACAAATTTGTGGTGATTGTTGTGCCGTAGAAAAAGTCCGCTAGTAGGTGAGACCCAATTTGTCCACACTTATGCAGTTTTCCAATTTATTCATGACATAGTCGGTTTAAAGTCCATAAATATTGTTGGGTAGTAGTAATGGCTCATGATTGTAAAATACTCATAGTAAATCTCACAGGATAAAATTATATGTAACCACATTGCCACCACATTGTAGGACAATTTTTAATTTTCAAGCAGAATCTGCCTAATCTAATGTTACATTGTAAGTTACATGGCCATGCTGTGTATCAGTAGCGAGTATGAACTCGTGATTCGATGTTGATGCATGATCAAATGAATGTGTCTCATCCAACAATACTTGGAAATTTTATTTACAAGCTGACAGCTGTACATTAGTTCCATTCCTTGAGAGGTGACTATGCAAGTTTTACAAAGATACCATTTAAAAAAAACATGAAACTTTCGGGTAAAAAGAACATTGTCTGAGGTTAATTTCATTAGAAAAATTAGTGAAGATGAAAATAGTTTTAACATGTCACTGAGCAATGGCACTGTGTTAAGTTGATTGTGAGATCAGACAACCACCATCGGGGTGGTACACAAGGCTTTTGGGTTTTGGGATATCTGGGCTAAGCACCACAAGGAAGGGTTTCCTAGACTTTATGTGAGAGCGGAGCCTCTAAAATTGAACTGATGCTACTCATTACTGTTATTTGTAAGAGGGTGTTGTTCCAGCACAGTATCACAAAACAGAACCAGTCTCGCCTATGTTATAAGTGGCTGACTTTTAAAAACAAGGCATGTCTACTATGCCAGAAATGAATTTTGATAACTGCTTAAAAAGCTGACATTCTTGGAAAAATAAAATGACCATTTCATTTTTTTTTAATGGCCAATGAGTTTTGTCCATAGCCTATATTCAATCTCATTGCCCCATTTATTTCAGCCAGAATTGTGCCAATGTTCCATAGCCTCTTTCCCTTCTTAAAACCTGACCATTTTGATCCCTCTCCCTTTGAGTCTTGGGCCACAATTAAAAAAATCTTTAGATTTTTGCCTTCACTCGACCCAGGCTGAAAGTTTTTTGAGGGGGGTCTTTTTACAAATTCAGCATGGTGTCTACATGCTCGGGTGTGCTTGTGTAGAGATACCTTTTATGTTGAATGTTTGTTTTGCTTGGTACATATAATGTATTGCCTACAGATTTATATAATGTACAGTGATACAATTTGTAAAAAAAAAAGGAATGGGAAAGCTCAATAAATTTTTTTGAGACGGTCCCTTTTTGGCAGGTCGGTCGGGTGAGGGCAAATAAACAATATTTTTATTATGGCCTTTGTACTGCTGTCCGAATATGGTTTATGGTTTCCAGTCATGGTAGGTATCATCTTTTTTTTTAATAGGATGAGCAGTATAATATGAAAAATGATGCCAATGACCTATCTGATACCAGCGACTCTGAAGAAAGCATCTTTTCTGAACTTGACGACATTGAAGGTGAGGAGAGTGATTCAGGAAAGAGTGTCTCCACAGATGAGAGTTCTCTGGAAAACTCAGAGGAGAACAGTAAGGATGATGATGCCGAAGAGGAAGATCTTAGAAAAGAAGAAATGAAAAAGGACAACACTACGGTGTGTGATGCATGAGCTGCACATAAAATATTATCATACTTTTATTAAGTTATCAGTTATGTTATGCATTTATTTTTATCACAGAGATTAATTAGGTAGATCTTTGCTATTTCAGACATGAATTATATATCTTTTATGTTATAAAAATGAAGCCAACTGTATTTCATATTGCTTTATTTGTGATGTGTTAAAGCATTCTGCCATTTAATAGTACTATTAATCCTACTTTTTTGCATTGTTTTTAAGCTTTTTTTTACTAATGCTAAGTATATATATGATGAGGTAAGAGATGTGGTAATATTGGCGTGATTATTTTAGATTGTTACTAATGTCGGCTCGTGGTTGGATAGCAAGAACATGCCTGAAGTAGATGAATATGAAGAAGACTCTTCAGATGAAGAGGTGTGTGGACTATATTTGTAGATATACGAGAATCTATAAGTGTTGTCAATATAGAAAACATGGTTCATCTAGTCAACTAATCTTGCAATATCTTTGGTAACTTTCAAACGTTAGTGTCAGTGTCACAGACTATTGCAACACCACAATGTATCACAATCTTCTATTGTAGCCAATGCTTATAAATGAATGGTTAATGGACATTTCAGCAATGCATTTCTAAATGGTTCCTCTATTCATAATAACTCCATAGCTTCCTGTTATAAAGATGTGGTTGTGAAAGAGAAGAAGAGGAATTGTAATTTGTAACTGAAGAAAAGAACTAAGGTAAGAATGTGTATTTGTTGTCAATGAGCCTATGTACGCACACTATTCTAGGATATCCGTAACACAGTCGGTAACATCCCACTGGAGTGGTACAATGACTATCCGCACATAGGCTATGACTGGAGAGGAAGGAAGATTGTGAAGCCAGCAACAGGCGATGAGCTCGATAAATTTCTCGACAAAATGGATAATCCAGATTATTGGTGAGGATTCTCTGTTATGTGCCAATTTACATTTTTATGAAATGTAGTGGATTGTATGTAAACCAACTATTTTATCTTCACAGTATATGCTTTTCCAAAATTACAATTCATCCAACCCACTTACTTCTCTGCCAGTATTGGCATGGTGTCCAACTAACATGTTAAAACTTCAAGGGAAAGTTGAAAACACTGTTTTCCAAAGTAGCTGTTTGCTATGATGTGTTATAAAACATTGCTAAATGTGAGAAGTCGAAATGTGAAATTGGCCTATTGACATTTATATTATGATACATAAAAATTTGCACCTGATACAAATGTACTTTTGGAAAAGTATAGGAAAATGCTATGACTAATGTTAGATTGTAATTGTAAATTTGTAGGCGCACTGTAAAGGACAGGCAAACTGGCCAAAGTGTGATATTATCTGACCAGGATCTAGATATTGTCCAGCAAATACAAGCAGGAAAGTATCCAGATGTGTCATATAATCCTTATGAGGTAAATATAATATGATGCCATAGTGAAGATATAGTTATTAAGCAGTGTAGAAGCTATCCAGAGAGACCGGGTACAAGATGGCATTGCGCAAAAGATGCGTTGTTCCCCGACCGCGAGCGCGGTTAAGCCGTGCACTTCTGCGGGACTGGGCGCACGCGACCGCGGGGTGTTGTATGTATAGGGAAGCCTATTTGCTACCCGTGATCGTATGAGTGGTTACGCGTGAGTGTGTGTAGTACACCCTTGCTAGCGTCTATGTGAGTGCAGATAATAATAGACTATAACGAACAGTATGAACGTATTCAGGAATCTCTTTAATAGAACATACTTAACTATGCATCCGCCCATAACGTGGCGAATGCGTACAGTCGAGGTACAAGAGTAACATGACCTAACTTACGAAGTTAAGGCTGTGAGGTAGCTGTCTCAAACCAATATCGTCTATGTCTGTAAGTTGTATATCACTATCGCTCTGTGTCTCCGATCTCCTCTCTCTAGTCGAACACGCGGTTATATACTCTCATAGGTAGACACGCCTACCTATTGTTTATGGTCAGTCCGTACTACCCTACTGTCTACAATTGGCTAATTCTATCCTGTCTATTCCCGCTTTACAACTTTACACAGCTGGCCATGTATGCCAAACCAGAACAATAGGTTATTCCTAGATATTTACTTATCCGTCTATCGACGGTATTACATATGTAGCATCTTGCGCTGCCCGCTATACGAATTCGCGCACCGAAAGAGGGCGGGCGCGCGAATCCGTATAGCGGGAAGCGTAACATCGCGCAGTTTTCGTCAGACGTACACCGGCTTGATTACAGCGGCCTTGGGGGGAGGGGCAGCAGGGGCTGCAGCAGGGGCCAGTATACGTAGGATTAGCTACATGTAAATACTGGCACGGCCACGCCAGCACGTGCTCGCACGACGTGCCGTCGTCACGGGCAGCGCGGGGTCACGAGGTTGGTAAAAACATGCCACGTACGCAGCCAGGGGCGCCGCGGCGGCGGCAGTTTTGGAGGTAGCATCTAGACCGCGCCAGCCCACGTGGAGCGCCGTACGCATCTTCGTTAAAACTTCTGTGATAGACGTGACGCTATATTCGGCAGTAGCCCACGTCATCGCGTAGCGGCGAATGAGCGAGCGCGTGGTCGCTGAGTGACAGCATTTCTTAGGGTTTCTTGTAGGAGCTACTACGTGTTACCCGTAAGGCGCGCCACTGCCAAAAATTAATATGGGCCGTTTGGAGATGGCCTTTAGCCGTCGATGCCGAAATGTCGGTTGGATTGCGCCCAGTTTTCGCGGAATTCGGTTTTAGACCCCTGTCTCAGATATCTATCTAAGTGGACAAAAAGGGGGTGGCGTATTCGCTGGGGGGGCACGGCTTAGCCGTGCGCTGTGCGCTGCACGCAACTACCGGGGCCGCATGTTCGTCTAGGGCTTTATTGTTTAGTTGCTTAACTTCTTAAATAGGTTAACATTCCTTATGTCATGTCTATATTTAAATGTGGGTGTTTCAGATGGTAACATAAAATAATATTTTATTATCAAATTCTATAATTTGGTAAATTAGTGTTCAGTTAATTTATAATTATTTGTGTGGCATGGCAGTGTGGTAAATTACCACAAAGCCAATCTTTAAAAGAGATTACTGTCGTCACGCCGTGCGTGAGTAAAATGCAGTGCATGTTATCGTCTGAAAATGTAAATATCATTGTAAAACATTTTTTCCCAGACGTGGCCGCATGAGCTGTGTCTTATTATAGCATGTTTACTTTCTAGCCATGGGTGGATTTTTTCTCCCACGACACGATGGTTCATCCTGTAACCAGGCAACCTGAGCACAAGCGCAGTTTCATCCCATCGAAGATAGAAAAAGAAAAGGTGAGAAGCTTGAATATGAAGCATTGAGGAACGTAGTTGTATTTTATTAGCTCATCTGACATAGTCAGAGGCAGCTTGTAGAATCGCATGAGCGTGCGTGCGTGCGTGCGTATTCGAAAGTCGGGACGTGGGGGGGTAATCCGAAAACGAGTTGGGATGTCGAAGCTGGGGGTCAAAGGTCAAAGGTCAAGAGGTGTAAAAGAGTGGGGAACATTTCCTCCTTAACTTAAGGTATAGGGAGGAAATGCAGAATTGCGGCACAAATCTAAACGGCTCAACCTAGGCTTGTGATAGTCGGTGTATAGCATAACGGTAGGAAAAGCCATCACTGTGCCGAAATTGGAGGTCACAGGTCAAAGGTCAATGGGGCACAGGGCAGATTTTATACATTTTGTAACGGACAGAGTGAAAAACATTTTTGTTTCAGCGCTGACCTACCATTTTTATCACTTTATTGAAAGGACCATGAAATGTGCTTTCCACTGACGTGCGAAGAGTAAGTGTCTGATAACCTTTTGACCCTCAAGAGGAGGGTTAAACATGGATTCCTGAACTGTCTCAATGATGTCACAGTGTTCTCATATTCAATGGCATATCCATAATCTGGAAAGCCAATATGTCTGGATAGGCCAACGGCTACAGCACAGGATTACGGCTCAAAGGTCCTTGGATCGAATCCCATCAGATTTTTTATTATTTACCTGTTTTCTGTATTTTTCTATCTTTATCCATTTAACTATTTCTTTCCAATTAAGGCAAATATTTACATTATTTATTTACAACAATTTCATAACAACAAATAATTTTTACAAGATTTAAATTTTTAAATTTTTTTAATAGGGTTAGGGTTAGGGTCACAATGCACCATAAAACAGGAGTTTGAGGCACGCGATTTGTATCAACCAATGGGATTTGAGAGGTATGCAGAATGCAGAAGGTTGCTGAAATGATGTGTACGCAACTGCGTATCTGCATATCTGCGACTAACAAAGGTCTCACTACGCACGACTTAAATATTACGTTTATAATTCTAGCAACACAACCTCAGATGAGCCCAAACACTCTGCGGCTCTAGTATTTGGTTTAAGATATGCTTTTGGCATGGTGCTTGGTAGCTCTAGTACTATAGCCTGCGTACAGTGGCAACTGTATGCTGGCTATACTACTAGAGCTAGGTGCTTGGTAAATACCATAGAAAATATAAGATTGACTGGCATTTAAAGGGATCCTTTACTCTAGGTTCTAGGGTTATTTTCAGTTAATTTAGGTTAAAATTACGCTACATAAAAAGTTTCATGGTTCAATCACCATTAGAAATATTTTTTTAATGTTTTAAATCTAACGACTACAGTTTGATGACAACGACGGTGGCGCCACTCAAAGCGCACGATCTGAAAAGTTGCGCAAAACGACTTTTCAGCCAAGGGCTACAGACCGAGGGTGTTTCTTATTTATTAATTTAAAGGCAAAAGGATTGTAATATCTTATAAATGACATATAGTTTCAGTTATAGTATGGATAAATTTGTCCTAAAATGAACATGGTTCGGTTAAATACCATTTAGGTATAAATATAATTGCACCTTTGTGATTAGCCCTCGGTCTGTAACGTGCAAAATATATTGGGAAATGCGCAACTTTTTTAGGGTGGCAGAATGGCGCCGTTCAAATTTCGTAGCGTTGATGTATAATTAATTATAACAATTAAATTAGGTATCTGGTAACAAGTATGTGTGGGTATAGACGATTTGTTATACAGTAAGTACAGTTGTATGCAGTAAAATCCTAGAGTCTAGTATCCCTTTAAATAAGAGTAGTGTGGATATTCATATGAACAAAACGTTTCCAAGCAACGGCATCTAACTTTACACTGTAAAAGAATAGTTTTTTGCACATTTCTCAAACAGGTTAGCAAAATACTGCATGCTATAAAAATGGGATGGATCAAGCCACGCGTGCCTAAGGATGAAACTGCAAAATTCTACGACCTGTGGAAGGATGGTGAATCGTCGCAGACAGCAGCCATGGAGCGCCGACTCAAGCATCACATTCCTGCACCGAAGCTTATGTTGCCTGGTCACGAGGAGAGCTATAACCCACCACCAGAGTACCTGCTTACACCTGATGAGGTAAGCATTATTCCTGTGGGGCTACTCACTAAAACCGGGAGAGATGGGCAAGTTTAAAAGTTATTATTGAAATGAGTATGTGTTACAGAAGAAACATTTCATTGCTGTTAGCTGTACATTACTCCTTTTAGCAGACTGTGAATTTACGTTTAGCTGTGTCATTCCAAAAGCGGTTTGCAAGCACAATTCATGCTCTCTGCCTTGGGATGTTTTGTGAAAAATCTAGTAAGACAGGCTGTTATTTACTCAATCAAGTCTGAAATATTATAATAGCATCAATTAAAATTGACACATATCTTGGTAGTTTAGAGTTATAAATATATTCTGTTTATGTGTTTATAATTCTGCCATCGTAAGGTTAATTTTAATTTCTATGTATAAGGATTATGACCACCAGCTTTAGATAGGTATGTATCCTTTGTAAGCAGTGCATTATGACCAACGTATTTTGAGGTGCATGGTGGCAATGGGAAACGTTTTCCATGAGAACAGGTAGAGGCATGGGAAAACCAGGAGCCGGAAACAAGAAAGATCAACTTCATTCCGAAGAAGTATCCACATCTAAGATCAGTGCCGGCTTATACACGATTCATCAATGACCGCTTTGAACGATGCCTAGATCTTTATCTTTGTCCCCGTCAGCGCAAGATGAGGGTATGATTTAGAAAAATAGATATATAGAAATAATTCAGAAGGTTGTGAATTTTCGAAGGCTTTTTAAATGTACCTTTTTGTGTATACTGTATACAACAAATTCCATATTAAACTACTTTTTATATTTTTTCAGGTTCATGTCAGGCCAGAAGACTTGATACCCAAGCTGCCAAAGCCAAGAGATTTGCAGCCATTTCCTACAATATGTTCCATTGTAAGTAACATCATCCATAGTTAACAATGATTTAAGTTAAGTAGTGAGTGCAAACACGCAAAAAAGCATTAAATGTGTATACCATGCATTTACCTGATTCTCTAATTAAACTTAAGATTAAGTAGTCAATTTTGCACCCATGTTCATTTGACATAGATCTGTATTAATTAAATAGCTTAGCATCTTCACACACTCCCTTCAGTTTGAATGGGGCAACTTTCTGGTTATTGCTAAATTTCTACTGGTATAAGTTGTTCTTAAAGACAGGTGAAACTTAATTCCCATGTGGAATTAAGAATGATCCATTTCTGATGTTTTTCAGTTAGGATGTAGTTCTATAGCATAAACAATTTATTCAATTATTTATTTTACATCTTTCATCCATAAGGTGTACATTGGCCATGAGGACTTTGTACGGTGTATCAGTGTGGAACCAACAGGGCAATTCTTTGCATCAGGTAGGTAGTTGAAGGATTTCTGTTACAGGGAAAAAAACGGTTGGGTATCGGTTGCCATAGAAAAATTATTGAATTTTTTTAATTTATGTATAAAAATACGGTGATTAGCAGTTGCATAGTTTAATTGGAGTTTGTTGGTACTATTATTTTTATTGGCGTGTTTAAGGTTCAGATGACCGTACTATACGGATATGGGAAGTTGCTACTGGTCGATGCCTAAAAACTCTACAGGTGGAAGGAACGGTGAAGGATATTTCGTGGTGTCCAAACTCAAATTTGTGCCTGGTAGCTGCGGCAATGTAAGAAGTATTAGTTATTAATTGAACAAATTGTATAAAGCCGGCCATCTGTTATAGTTCATTTCATGAAATAGTCATCGTATAAACCACTTTATTCTGGGTCATACAGTTCGTTAAGTTAATTTACCTAAACCATGGTTCCTAAAAATAGATAGGTTGCTGGTGATAATTTTTCCTGTTCTGTCTGTGACTGTGTATTAATGATGGATTTGTTTTGCTGGTAAAGCAATTCGACGGTAGTGTTGTTGAATCCTGGTACAGGAGACAAACTTTTAGCTAATGGCACTGATGCTACCCTGAAAAACTCACTGACTGAAGGGGAAACAAAAGGTGTGTATATCCAGTTTTACATTATGTCATGATGACATTCTCAGGGCATGAAATTAGCCAAAATGTGAACAGGCCCACCCAAAATTTTAAACAGGCCCTTAAGCCTAGGACACACTGTGCGATTTTCAATGCTGGCCGCTTGCGATCGATAAATTTGGTGCCGGGTCCGCGCGGTGTGTCCGGTCTCACGGCAGCGTATTTCGCTCGCGATCCCATATGCCCAGCTGATCGCTCGCATTCAACATGTTGAATATTTCCGCCCGGTTTTTCATCGCTTGCATACAAATACACCAGCGCGCCCAACAATGAACAATCGCGTTCGAACGCGATTGTTTTTAGCAGCGAATCAAGTGTAGCAACGAAAGCTAGGAAACCCGTTGGAGTGATTGGACACCGGACAGTGTGTGCAACTGTACGCGCAACTCGTACGGCGTTCTAAAATCGTGAGCGAAAATATACGCTGCCGGGCAGCGTATAGAATCGCTAGTGTGTCCTAGGCTTTAGACAAAATGAACAGGCACTTAATTTTGTTTAATCTATTCCATTATTTATAGTATTAGCTTTGTGTTTATTAGTCATACTCGTAGTATTTCAGTATTTCATTGCTATCAATGGAGTTCTACTTGTTTGACAGGAATTGCTGGAACATGATTTACTTCTTAGTAGTTACTAAGTAAAAACTAGTCAGGAAATTGGTAAATATTGTTGATATAAAGTCAAGATAGGCAAAATTTTGAATAGGCCAAGTAGACTGATTATATGGGGGGTTGACCCGGCCGTTTAGGGGGGTGAACCGGTGGCCGCCGGCAAAATAGCGCTAATTTCGTGCGTTGCATTTTTAGTCAGGCTGATAGAGTTATAATCTTGACAGTTACTGCTTTTTGTGTGACATTGTCACGTTTGCTGTTTACTGTTGGAAAGCGATAATCTTGCACTACTGTTACTGCACACTCTTAATGTATGGAGAATATTGTTTTCATATAATTTTATTATTGGTGGCTTCCTTTAGATTCTGGAGCAGTGGTTTGGAAAGAGGTACCAGCTGAAAAGTATGACACAGGATTCAGATTGACATTGGAGTTCAAAAAGGTGCATAAGTAATTCTTTAGGTTTGCTTATTGCATGCTATTGCATTATCCCATAAAATTGTGATTTTGGTCCCATTTTTCACTACTGTGTCATAGTACCTTATGGGCATCAAATTGGCTAAATTTAAGATGAATGATTGAAAAAAGAATTTGTTGTGCATAACTAGTTGTAGGCTGATGTAGTTGTCAAATTATAGATAATAAAATTTATTATACTTGCAGGTAAAATTATTTGTGACAACTTTAATGTTCTCTTGTATTCAGTGTTCATTGTATACATGTATGTGTGTGAAATAAACAGCTGTTGCAATTGCAGGAGGTGAGTAAGGTGACCTGGCACAGCAAGGGTGACTATTTTGCGACAGTGGAGCCACAGGCAGGTGACGGCTCAGTAATGCTACATCAGCTGTCTCGTAGACGGTCTCAGGTAAGCACCTACATTTACAGCAGCAATCAGGTTGTCCAACCTGACATACATGTGCTCTGCGTTAGGGTGAACTTTAGCTGAAAAAAAGATATTTAATATAACAAAGGATTCCTCCTTTCATGGTGTGCATGGTGTTCATAGTTCTAATAGTGTTGGCGAGCGGGGGGGGGGGGGGGGTAGTGTTTACATTCTTACAAGATTAAGCTCCACCTATGAGAGATGGAATGCATTATGCATGTTGTTGTAGTAACTTTGATAATTGTTCTGTTCTAGAATCCATTTAGAAAGTCCAAAGGGTTGGTTCAGTCTGTTTTGTTTCATCCTACCAGACCATATCTATTTGTTGCTGTAAGTATGAACAGTAATATACATAATATCATGTGTTTCTATTTGTTTGTGTGTTTTACTAGAATATCATGTTCATTCATCACGTATAGGCGGTCCGAATAATAATAACAACAAACGAATATGATAACCGCTATGAATAGTTGTCAATGATTGTTTGTACTTTTATTGTATTTGTTGTCTTTAGACTCAGAGGTATGTTAGAGTATATAACCTGCTGAAACAGGAGCTCACTAAGAAACTACTGACCAACTGCAAGTGGGTGTCAAGCATTGCCATACATCCTAAAGGTAACTAGCTGCAGTAGTTAACCAACCAACCACAGTTATATAGGACCCCTGAGTCTAATCCTGATTCTGTTATATGTAATAAGATGGGTTCTCTACTGCAGGGAAGTAATGCCCAAACACTGTAACTGAGGAAAAGTGTGGGAGGACTCAGTTTTATCCACATGGAATTAGATCTCACGTTCAAATACAGTTATGTATTTAAAGGGATACTTCCCCCAGAATTTGAGAGTATATTATGATAGTAGATTCATAAATAATAGCATATACCTACAAATTTCTATAATTACTCATTCACGTTTGTCATAAAACAACATTGCATTTCGAAATCTTTATTTTTGGGCGCTGACATGACACCCGCGATCGTGCTGCCACCCTGAAAATGTTGCGCATTTGCCAATTTATTTTGCATGTTACAGACCGAGGGCTAATCACAAAAGTGCAATTATATTTACACCTAAATGCTATTTAACCGAACGATATTCATTTTAGGACAAATTCATCCATATTATAACTGAAACTAAGTGTCGTTTGTAAGATATTGCAATCCGTCTGCTTTTAAATCAATAAATAAGAAACACCCTCGGTCTGTAGCCTGCAGCCAAAATGTTGCTTTGCACAACTTTGTCAGTGGATGCGCTGCCAGTGGTGCCACCGTCGTTGTAAGCAACGATATAGCCGTCAGTTTTAAAACGTTAAAAAAAAATATTTCTAATAAATATTGAACCATAAAACTTTTTAGGTAGCGCAATTTTAACCTATTTTAACTGAAAATATCTGAAGAACCTAGAGTAATGTATCCCTTTAAATGCAGGATTTAACCTGTTTGACTGTATATATACTTGTTTTTGTGTGTGCATTAACTACTGTTACTTGTGTTTGGGTTTCAACAGGTGATAATGTTATCATCGGTAGTTATGACTGCAGGCTGGGGTGGTTTGATCTAGATCTGTCTACCAAACCCTATCAAACTCTAAGGTAAACTTTTTTAACCAAATTATACCTCTATAATTTGCACTTACTCGGATATGTAATATGAATGTTTAATAGAGATTACAAACTTTAACATTTCAAATTTAAATAACTGTAAATGAATCTCCTGGGTAATATTTTGTCATAAGAGTGCAATAGACTCAATAATAGTGATAGACTAAAATGAGGTGATAATAAAACAATTACTCATTGCATCAATCATTGCATTTGTCTTTGTTTATATTTGACCAAGGAATTGTTGTAGCAAGTTTATTGCTTGTATTAAGTCGGATGTTTTTGTAACCATTTGTCACATGGTGCCAAAACGTTACTTTTCTAACATGTTGTTGCCTAATGTCGACTCATAACCCCCATAATTCTGTGTCGGCACATCTCCAGGCACCACAAGAAGGCAATCCGACAAGTTAGCTACCACAAGCGTTACCCGTTGTTTGCGTCTGCGTCGGATGATGGTACAGTCATCGTCTGCCATGGGATGGTCTACGCGTGAGTGTTTTCAATCTCTCTTGCTGCCTGCTTGCTGCCGTCTTCCATTTTACGATTTATTCAATTGCATTACCATTTCACAACCTCTGTCTATGTAATTGACATTTTTACATGATTTCATGGCTCATTGATTTGCAGGTAAATCCTGTGTGTGATAGCGGGAGCTGAACTTCTATTACTGTATCAGTACCGTAGCAAAATGTGTCAACTATAGTGGTGCGATTGTATCAGCATCATCTATACTTTATTACTGTACTACTTTAGTTTACTGCAATTTATTATTTAATACAATGACTACTTACAATGATGCTGATAACAGACACCATTGTAGAATTCATTGGTACAGTGTTGTGCACACTGAAAGGTAAGCAAAAAAATACAGATTTATTTACCTACCCTTGGATAGCTTTTCTGGATATCATACTTAGGATTATATGGTTTTGCTGTTTCAGTGATCTGCTGCAGAATCCCCTGATAGTGCCTGTCAAGATTTTGCGTGGCCACAAGGTTAACAAGGCTTTGGGTGTGCTGGACTGCATGTTCCACCCAACGCAGCCATGGCTCCTCTCCGCTGGTGCTGACCACACGGTCAGACTCTTCACGTGATGACTTGCTGCACTTCGACTGCTGTCCTATACTATTGCCACTGTTTGCCCCAACCATCATGGTGTCATTGCTTCCAAATGGCACTGGTCCACAAAGTAATTATGAATGGGAGGCAACGCTGCCTAGTGCCTACTGTACTGATTCAGTTCACAGACATTCTCATGGATATCAAATCTGTCGTGTACGCCCAGCTCACGTGAACTGGTAAAATTCGGGTATTTTGGCATATAAAGGTTATAGGCATTTTTTAACATGGTAGGGTTTCACAGAGTCATGGATGCAGAGGTATGAAATCAGCCTAGAATTATCATGCCACATATGAGCTAGCTTGATTTTCTATTTACATTTGACATAGGGGATAGATTTGTGAAACACTGGTTTGTGTTTAGTCCTTTTAACTGTCAGTAATCATCATGGCCACTGGATTTATATTTGTAACATGAGCTGAATTTCCAAGCTGGATCGAACAATGTTGTCCAACTGTCGTGCACTGTGCTAAAAAAACACGATTTTTTTGTACAAATCTATATCTTTTGTTGTGCTTTTATCCTCTAGAGGTGTCCACGTTCTGTAATAATTTCTATTCCTATGTCAGCTTATCGGGTAAGGTAATCGCTTCATTGGTGTTAATAAGAATACCATTAAACGTTGTTCTTTGGAGTCTCATCTAGGTGCCTCTCACGTTACAAACGCTTCCACTGCGGTATTCTGCTCCACATTCGAGCAGAATACGTTGAATAGATATAATACATGGTGTAATAACTCCTATTCAGTGAATTCCATTCCGTAATCCTTAATGTTATGTTAGGTTATAACATTGACACGTGCGTCTAATATGTAACTGCGGTTAACCCACAGATGCATAAGCAGCTGTATTGGCAGTTCCTCGTGCGACCGTTAGCGGCCCTTGCATATGAGCTTATTAGATGACCGCATTATGGGTTGACACATCGTTATCCATAGCTGTCACAAAATCTCATTTTTGGTCGGACCGCATTTCATGATGCTTATCTTTATTTACAGGATAGAATAAGAGCAGAATATAGCCCTGCATTCATTTAATCAAATAAGCTTAAGCACACTAACATGGCGGCGTGCTGTTCAAATAGTACAGTTTAGATGATGAAAGATTAGGTGCACTTACATCAATGTGCCAAGTGTGAGCATGGACAAAATATTTAAAGAATACGCTGACACGCACGCACGCACGCACGGACGGACGCACGCACGCACGCAAGCACTCACACGCACACTCACACGCACACTCATACACACAGACGCATATATGCATGCATGCATGCGTATAATATATATATATATATATATATATATATATATATATAAAATATATAGAGGGTCATATATATCGTATATATTCCACAGATATATACACATATATATTGATGAGTGAACTTTTGAGGCATCAACGACTCTTCCTCGAACAATTGGCAAAATGACAAGGCCATGCCAGGCCAGAGTCTGGCACGAAAAGACATTGTCTTGGAACCTCGCTCTATTGGAATATATATGGTATACATGATACCATCTATGTTTTGTTTTTGTTGTGTATCCATCGGTGTCCGGTTTTTTTCATTAATATATAAACATATATATATATTTTTATATGTGTGTGTGTGTGTGTGCGTGCGTGCGTGCGTGCGTGCGTGCGTGCGTGCGTGCGTGCGTGTTTCGCGTCACGTAGGCTACACAGGAAAACCAAGCGGCTGAGCTCACTATGCATGCTCGCTGTTACTGTGAACGCAATATTGCATGAAGGTAACTTGTATGTTCTGCGTGCTCATATACACAAGACGCCGTTATAATAGTGCATAATCCACAGGAATACAGAAGGGAATCTAGTGAATTATGTCTAGTCGAATTCATTTATTTTCTTATAGTGTACAGTGGTCTGGCAAATAGTGAATTAACCGAACGAATTTGTATTCCGATGTCTGTACGAAATCACATTATTACCCGGTATAACTGGTCTCGTTATCTCACACCCAAAGGTTGACTCACAAGCGCGCTGTTAATGTATCGGTGTGTACCTTTATCCTCGAGCTGCATCGCTGATAAGCGTCAAATCTTGCCTATATCGTACGTCAGTCAACTCCGCACTAGCTCGACGTACACCTTCGACGAGTGAACTCTGGTGCAAGATCATTCGCGGCGCCGTGTGCGACAGCGACCAGCTCGGTGCGACGATGCTAGTCTCGGTGCTCCTAGCGTTGGCGACAGCCTACGTCGTTTACAGCTGCTTCTTTGCACGCTCACCGTTGCCGATCGCTGGGAAATATGAACAGCCCGGTAAGTCGTCGACGTGTGTTCACGAATATACGCGCCCGATAAATATGACCCTGTCACCCGCCGATCGGTAGGCGTTTTATCCTGAAGAATACGTACGTCGGAGGGCCTTTAAATTGGCTACGTCACGAATTTTCTATGGTGTATAATTGTAAAAGTTTTGTTGCAATTTTTTACATGAAAAGTAAGTACTAACGGCACTCGATGTATCCTCAAATTCTTTCCTGATAAGATTGTTTTTCAACTGGTTAAAAATACAAAAAATCTGGGCGATTTGATATATTGATTACGACATTAAATGCTTGCTATGGGCTATATGTATAAGTCACAGGTATTTGTTCACATCGATCGGAATAGCAAAATAGGAAGTATGACGCAGCAATTTAACCATAAAAGTGAACAGAATCACTTACATTTTGTGAAAATGTGGACATAATTTTTTTTTTTTTTACGGAGACGTAAACGTAAGACATAAAGTAGGCCTACGATGGAAGATGTACTGCAAACACTGAATGAAATTCCGAATAAAAGACCAGATTCACGGATCAAAACCACGAGCAGCGCGATTTCATATTTCAGTCTTATGACAAAACTTGCTCACGTTGGAAAGCAGCCATAGAAACATGTATTTATGTATCTGGCGCGTGTCTTACTGCTGCTGCTGCTACTGCTGTGATGCACTTGCTCGCCCGCGTACACACAGCGCACCTAATACCGTGGTACACAGCGCGATCGACCGTAGACAGCCAGCTACAAGCACAAACTGCATGCAGCGCCCCCTTTCCACACTCAGGATAATACCTTATATACTTTGGATCAATGGATCATACTCCACGACAGATAGCGCTCTCGCTCTGGCACAATTCTATATCCTGAGTGTGGGAAGGGGGCGCTGCATGCAGTTTGACTTTGGATAGGATTAACCTGTATAATACCAGTCGTCATGTTACGCTTGACTGCGTTCGCTACACTGACCTGCGCTCTGGTGAGTAGGCCCTAGCGGCCGTTACGAGCAGGAGCGGTAATCATTAACGTTAAGATAGGATAGGATATTAGCAGAGTTGATTTATATGCTCTGATATTAGAATTGAGCCAGAGCGAGAGCGCCATCTGTCGTGGAGTTTGCTACAAGCGAAGCTAGTGAGTCACGTGAGCGGATGTTTGCGGGACTGTAGCGCACACCTGTTATTTTGCCTACTCGGATTGAGCTGGACGGTGGACAGTTCGAGCTGGTCGAGTTGGATGGGCACCAGCTGGACAGTTCGTGGACGGACGAGAAATTCAGCAGTTTTATTGTGTCCGTATCTCGAACGACCACCTTCCTACCTCCTACTTCCTACTTTAATACTTTCTTTCTGCATTTGTCCAGCTACTGAACCTGGTGAAAAACACACTTTACCACATACTATAGAGATCTAACGTTTCACCAGGATAGACCGTAAATCGTAAACAAAAACCAGAGTAAAATACTCATGAAATGTAGGTTCTCATTTTCTTACTATTCATACAGAGGTAAGACGGATATGCACAGAATATGCATACAAATACAGCAAAATTAGCACATTTTATGCAGTTTTCATGATTTCACAGTGTCCCTGTCTCGGCTCTCAAACGGGGCATTTTCTCACCGAATGCCGAGGCGCGTAGCGCCTCGCCTATAGCTGCAGAGCCGCGAAGCGCCGAGGCAGCGCGTGCTAAATAAACGAATAACAACAAGAATAAAGTTCTTAATATTCTTAATGAGATTCACGGTCGCTGCAGGACGATGGTACGCTGTCAAGCGTGCAGTCGTATACGTATACTGGTTGATTCGCCGATGGAGACGGCCAGATGATTGCTCTACCCCACGGATGGACAGGCCACGTCTTAGGCCAGAGTTCCCTGCTAGCAAGGACGAGCTTGTACAGCCGTTACAAGATCACCCAGATGTAAGATGCCACAAAAACCACGTTTTACATTACTGATATTAGAAGATATTGTACCTTAATTCGGAGTAAAAAATAGAAATGCTCGTTTATAATCAGTCCAATGGTTTAGATAAAGTGTCGTAAGTATACGTTAGGGTATTACTAGCCCAGTAAATTGTGTAGTGCGGGAATCTACCGGTATCTGCCCGTTATATCGCTCATTGTTTTTTCGCAGGCATTCGACTCCGTGTATATGAATGGCGTGGACAGTCACGGAAACACACTAGTTACCCGCATTATTCGAAGGCCCAACAGAAGGGCTGAGGTAATATTAGATGAAAACATATCAGCCACGTATTGTGTAGGCCTAGTATTGACTACTACGTATGACTTTCCTGCATATATAAGCATTATCGTATAAATGATATCACCTCCTGATTTAATGTTTGAGGACGATTTTCCGTAACAAGTTCTAGGTTAGGCATGTTATTGATGCGCTTCAGGTGTGGTTGATGCTGAAACTAGAAGATGGCCGCTACTTCCACTTCCCCGGCTTTCCCGACACAACAGTGTACAACACTGACGGACAGACGTTTACTGCCGGTGGTCTGCAGTACGAGGTGCTGGAGCCATTATTGAAATGGAGAGTCACATTTAATGGACTTCTCAGGTATCATAATTGATCTGGTAGAAGGGGATCTTTTTGAGCATGAAAGACGTGAAAACGTGTTCGGGCACTTCGAGAAGTGCATTCACATAAAAAGAGTGATTTCTAAAAATTGTAATATATATATATATATATATATATATATATATAACATAATATAACAAATATGTCATTAATATGTTAATAATGTATTTTTGGAATTGTTCGTTTATGAATAGATTATACAGATATTACTCACTGATGAGCGCCATATGCATGCCCATATAAGAAATACGTTTAATGATCAGTTTCAAAATCAGCTGTAAATTTTCACCTGGTGTTTATAGAGAAGGTGAGAGGAATACATGGGATCAAGATGAGGAAGGCGCACTAGTTCATGTGAAGTTTGCGTTCGTGTGAGTGTTATTTTAAGAAGTGCAGTAATATTCTGAGATGTGACAGCCTGGGTAACGTAAACTCGCATCTACGTAATTTGTATCGAACTCGCGATAAAAAAATTCGCTTTTTCGTAATTAAAAAAAAGTGGTTGTTTTACTCAAAAACTGGGATGCTCGATCGCGGCAAATAAAATTCATGTAACAAATACGAAGACAGCTGCATCGTAAACTGTGATGGTTTTAATTATCTATGAATTGCACTCCTGCACACTAATAACCCAATAATATTAGTACTATCAGCTATCCCTCTGCGATAGATCAGCGCAGAATTAATTACACTGCCCTACCTAAACCAGCTCTGCCTAAACCTCCGCCGTGGCACGATCGGAGGGTTTTACGTAGAACGCATCTTTAATTATACAATTGTTGTCAATGGTAAAACCTGATTCACGTTACAGATTTTCGCATTACGAATGTTTTTTCTGGAACGCATTACCTATGTGAAAAGCGGGGTATTAGTAGTATTCACCATAATATAGAATCACTGCCATGAATCTGTCACGCATGTCATATATATATATATATATATATATATATATATGAGAATATGAGAGGAGAGATTGGGGGAGAAGGAGAGATGTAATGTTTAAAGTTTAGTATTCACACCCTGAAATTGTTTGCCATTAAGGTGGACAGCGTACACAGGTAAATTCAGTTATTTTGACGACATCCATCCACTCGTAGTGTCTGACGCAGTTGCCAGCGAACCTTGGACATACGCCTATTTAGAGCAAATTCGCGAATACAGGTAAAAAAATTATGAAAAATTGATAGCAATGTTAACGTTGAAGTAATAATATAGAAATATATGCCTATTTACATATAAGAGCTTCTGTGAAGACATTTACGTTTTCATATATTATATGTACGAAGCTGATTATTCTAAAACGGGCGTAATGTTTCCATGCATTTAGTCTAGCAGAGCGGCAGTACGAGTTGTGGGGGCAGCTGTTGGGAGAGATATCTGTAGCTGGAGAGACAGAGAGAAAGTTTCTATTGAGAGGAGTCAAGGAACATGCGTGGGGAATCCGCGACCTGAACGCTTTGAGTAGATACATAATTAACAGGGGATATTTGGAGGTAAGTGTAAAGGCACGAGGGGACAAGAATGACGAGGAAGAGTGAGATAATGGAAAGCAGAAACAAACGCATATACTGATACAGATGCAGAGATATCTAGAACGATAGAGAGAAATGTAATTTTGAATATTAGAACACCCGTAGATGAGAAATTTGGGGAAAAGCCAGAAGATTTTTTTTTGCTTTTGGTAACTTGTGGCTTGTCAGAAACCGAATACGGAAATACTTTACTTAATACGGTTATCTAACGTTATTGTACCTTTCTGCGAAAATTCTATCAATCACAGCGTAGAATATGTTTATATTCATAATATTAATAATAATTATATTACAGGATGGAACATCGTATTCGATATCCGCTGTGAGCATATCAGGGTTAATGTCCCAGTAAGTCATGCTTCACTTAGTACTCATTTTATTTGAACACGTACGGGTCATACTCGCTTTATGTGGAGATAGACTGCAAAGTTCGGCGCAACTGAGCGAGTGACATCATATCGATTATTTTTCTCTAAAACGATTCAAGCAAATTTTCTATAGAATTTTTTGGGAGAAAATAGATATAGATATATGATATAGACTGATAGATAGATAGCTAGATAGATAAATAAATAGATAGATAAATAGATAGATAGATAAATAGGTAGATAGATAGATAGATAGATAGATAGATCGATCGATCGATCGATAGATAGATAGATAGATAGATAAATAGATAGATAGATAGATAGATAGATACATAGATCGATCGATCGATCGATAGATAGATAGATAGATAGATAGATAGCTAGATAAATAAATAGATAGATAAATAGATAGATAGATAAATAGGTAGATAGATAGATAGATAGATAGATAGATCGATCGATCGATCGATAGATAGATAGATAGATAGATAGATAGATAAATAGATAGATAGATAGATAGATAGATAGATAGATAGATAGATAGATAGATAGATAGATAGATAGATAGATAGATAGATAGATAGATAGATAGATAGATAGATAGATAGATAGATAGATAAATAGATAGATAGATCCTTTTCTCGGTTCTTCAGTTTCTCAGCCAAAAACCTCTCTCTATCGCTCTCTCTCTCTCTAGAATAGATAAATAGATAAATAGATAGATAGGTAGTTAGGAAGATAGATAAATAAATAGATAGATAGATAGATAAATAGATAGATAAATAGATAGATAGATAGATAGATAGATAGATATATAAATAGATAAATAAATAGATAGATAGATAGATAGATAGATAGATAGATAGATAGATAGATAGATAGATAGATAGATAGATAGATAGATAGATAGATAGATAGATAGATAGATAGATAAATAGATAGAT